GTGTTTCTCTGCCCCTCGCTCTTCCTCCAGCTGTCACTCATCGGCCTTTACTCCCGAGGCTCTCTTCTGCCCTGGCTGACACTGTAATCTGTGTCGTCTAAAACAGAATCCTCTAAATTCTCCTGTCTAGACAAAAGTATTAGAACCAATTGCTAGCAAGTCAGAAAATCAAAAGTCGATCAGCCACGGCCCACTTTAAATTTTTGTGTTTTTAAACCAAGACCGATAAATTCTACCTGTCCGGACTATGAAATTCATATTATGCATACAAAAAAGCATTTGGTCCATATCCATTTAATCTGTATTATATAACTATTATACAACTGAGCTTTGTGATCTACCTCAGAATACATACTTAACATTGCAATGCATTCATATCAACCCATATCTGTAACCTCACAGGTCAAATAGCTACAGGTCACCTCTTTTTGAAAAGGTGAGATGAGGAGGTGCTGATTGTTGACTGAAAAGATCCTGATGAGTTTTAATGAGAAACAGATGAACAAACTCCCCAACAGAATTCACTGTAGCACTTTGTTTAACAGTTGAGTTATTGGCAAGTATGAAAGCTACAATTATAATCGTAATTAATGTACTAATAATAGAACAATGGAATAACACAAGAAAGGCAGAGCAATTACCTCATGTTGTCTGAGTGCTTGTGTCAGCTAGTTAGTGCTGTTTTACCAGCCTGGTCCCAACAACGAAGCTGAAGAAAGAACTAGAAGCGCTAAAAGATTAATCAAATTCAAACTGACTCTGCAATACTATAGAATTTTTTTTTTCAAATCTCAAAAGCTGCATAATGCATTTTTTATAAAAACATATACACGCGCTGCCCTTCCCATGATTACTGTAAAAGTAGTTGAATAAGACAACACGTAAAATGCCCCGTTGAATGCAAGGCTCGATGCTTGCAGCAATACTGTGTGAGAACAGTCAAGGCCTAGTTTTAATGAAATTCACATGTTTTATATTGTGCGTATTGTACATATGTAATGTGTGCGTAGCAAGAGACAAATACAGATTGAAGGTGGATTCATGAACAGAAAGGTATTGGTGAAGGGAGGATATGAGAAATTAGCAGTTCATTTGTAAAGAAAAATAGGTGAGCCCTATATTGAGCATCATCATCAGCCTTGAGGCACAAACAGTTTCCCCTGTGCTTCTAGACCCGTCTTCCAGGATTAGGGGTTAGGGTTAACAATATGTTTACAGCAAGGCTTTAAATGATCTCAATATGGTTAGTTCTGTCTTGTTACTGTCACTGAATGGAGATTATTTTAATGAAATAAAATTTGCACACCATGCTAGAACATTATTGTTCTGCGTTTCTTTTTCTGATTTGTTTTTTTGAACTTATGATCATTATTTATTGGGGGTATGTTTTGGGGGCTTGTACGATTCAGGGGTCTGAGAAGGGGGGTGCTCTATTCTTTACAAACTGTATAGCCCCCTGAGATAAACGTGTGTATCTTTTATACGCAATTCAGGGTTAAAGTTAGTGTTGGGATGGTCATACAGTGCAGTGATGTTTTGCTTGTGTATAATGATATTTGCTGAAGTGAAGAAGAAAAACAATATTCGGAATCACAATCTTCCCTACACACAACCCAAGATAGTAAACATCTGTAAACTAAATCACAACAGCTGGTGGGTTTCTCCAAACATAAGACAACAAAACCTTCATGTCAACACTGTCAATAACATTGAATGTAACGTTTTCAACAGATGTGGGTGCAAAGAAAGAAGGACAATCTGGCAAAAGCCCCCTAAAGAGTGTAAAGCCGTTAGAAAAGTATACACATCTGTCAGCTTTACCGAGTAACACTAAATGCTCTCTGGCTCATTAGCGCTACTGTTTCTTATACAGGCTTTTAATTTGTCTTTCATTGCCAGCTGGCATTGTTTGTTCATTTCAAACCACTGACCAAATCCTTTTCTCCTTTACCGGTGTACATCTATGCAAGTATAAACAAGGAAAACAGGGAGAAAGACAGAGAGAAATATGAGTCAGGTTTAAGAGCGAGTACAAAATATGTTTTTTTGACTGTGATACTGAATGCTATACACCATCATATTTATCAAGCTGACTTTTCCATCTTGTCTCCCTCTCACAGAAACACACCCACGTTTCCACAGTCGGACATATGCTCACCATATTCATACAAATCCACAGCACCGTACACACAAGCAGTGTGGAATGGAGATCAACTTATTTTATTCCTGGATGTCTGTCAGATTGTGTTATGAATACAGATGGCAGTTAGGGCTGCACTGACAGGCGGGCAGAAAGACAGCTGAGCAGCTTTTTCGTTTGTCCTAATGGAAAGTACTTTGTGACATGTCCCCGCTGCCCCAAAGATTTTCCTCTGAAGGGGAACAAGCAAAACAGTGGCCCATCACATTAAGCCTCCTGAGACAAGAGTATTTTACCTCACAGTAGCATTTGCTCACTCTCCACGTCAAATTCAAGCAACAGGGGCAACACACCAATGTGTTCCTTGGTCTGTTGGCTATTTTTCCAAGATCTATCTGGTTTGTTCTAATGTTTGTTGGATTACAGAAACACTACTGGCCCAATGTTCATGAATTGGCCAGGGTGAAGCAAGGAAGACTCCATTACATTTTGGACCAGATCCAACCGATGGGGCATCTACATGCATTATCTGCACTTATGGAAACAGCTTTGGCGAAGGTCTGCACTTTCCGAGTTCCCTTTGACTTATTTTTCAAGTCCATTACTTCTTATTCCAAACTTATTTTTAAACTTTCGAGGTAGTTCTTAGAAAGCAGTGTAAGCTGTCTAATGTAATGTAATTGGATAAATCCTACCACACTGTCAGATAAATCTAAAAATGAGCCTTGAAAATAAAATCTCCTTAAACATTAGAAAGCTTTACAACGTTGCACAATAGAGCCATGTGCTAATTTAGTATGTCCGTGCCACCTTTTAATACAACAATTACTGAGATAAGCAAGTGAAATGGAGAAAAAGATTCCCCTGATTTAAACAGGAAACATGTATATTTCTAATCACTTTATTTTTCTGCTTTCATAAGCAGCTTAACTGTCAGCAGAACGATGTGTAGACAGACCGTAAATCTGTAATAAAGGCACCTTTGTCATTATGCCAGTATGAAGCTCAAATTAAACAAGATGCACGTGATCACATCTTTCTAAACAATCCTATACACTGTGTCTGTGTGCAGGACTGGCAACTTACCTCTCTGTCTAACCCCCTCCCCACTCACTTTTTACCCTTCCCCTTAGCTTAAATCCTGCATACAGTAAGTGTGCTGGAGAGTTAATGAGCTTACCTGTGTCTTTATTACATTTTGAACAGCTTCTGCTCAGGCTGCTTCTAAAGATAGCTTTCGATGAATATGACATTCAGCAAAGCAGCTTTTCTACCTTTGCAGAACATGCCAGCCTTCATATTTGTCAATGCAGCTGAATCTTCACTGAATATAGGCACACTGTGTATGAAATAACCAGGTCCTTGAAAAACATCCAGAGCCAAGTGTTACAGCTGATGCATTACATCAGACAGCGTTGGACAATCCCTTTCTGATGGTCGGACTGAAAACTGCCTGCAGGAGTGTTTTACCTTTCCAAAACCAACAATCTGGCAGTCTGCAACTACTTTCTAAAGGCTGTGTTCAATAATAATAGGAAACAGACAGAGCCTTAACATTTCCTAAAAAACCCAATGACTTCCATCCAAATGAAAGCTTTAGCGCAAGTTCAATAAGGAAGACCTAACCATGAGTCACTTACACGTCACTCTATTGCTCTCGCCCCCCTCATTAAACATGTGGGCGTCACCCCTCAGCAGCCAATTGCTGCACATGTTAAAATCCTTAAATGCCTGCTCATCCTTCCTGTCAGTTGTCATTTCAGGTGACCACATGCAAGCAGCAGCAGGGCTTCGTCCCAGCTCCAGGTATAGCCTATATTCATCAGCTCCGCAGTCTTGCGGATTAAGCTACAGGCGGCGTTCCCTAGTTGGCTAGCGGTTCTAGCCGGCCACCCCGCAAACCCGGACGCGGGAGGAAAAGACAAGGATATTGGGCTCCATGGAAGTTCCTCCGGCTTAATGGAAATGGGCTACTTCAGGCAAACAATTGACGCACGCCTTCAGTCTCTCGAGANACCAACACATGCCTAACCCTAACCCATACCCTTAACCTTACCCTTACCCTCACCCTAATCCTAAACCTAACCAAGTCTTCACCCTAAAATGAATGATTCGGAATCATTCATTTTAGGGTGAAGACTTGGTTAGGTTTAGGATTAGGGTGAGGGTAAGGGTAAGGTTAAGGGTATGGGTTAGGGTTAGGCATGTGTTGGTTATGGTTAAGGTTAGGGTAAGTTTCCAGGAAATGCATGTAAGTCAATGTAATGTCCCCTGAAGTGATGTATACATGGTATGTATGTGTGTGTGTGTGTGTGTGTGTGTGTGTGTGTGTGTGTGTGTGTGTGGGTGTGGGTGTGTTTGTGTGCGTGTGTTTGAGAGAGAGAGAGAGAGTGTGTGTGTGTGTGTGTGTGTGTGTGTTTGTTTATATATGTGTGTGTGTGTGTGTGTGTGTGTGTGTGTGTGTGTGTGTGTGTGTGTGTGTGTGTGTGTGTGTGTGTGTGTGTGTATGTGTGTGTGGGAGATACTGTTTTTTACCTCTTGGCCTGCATTGCCCTGGTCATGTGGTCATCTTTTTTTGAGAGTGTAGTGAGCAAAGAGCCACTACTGTAATTGGCTCTCTGTCTTCGTCTGTGAGTCTCAGATAGGAAACAGCCAACACAAAAACACACAAACAAACCCACACACACGTCTCCACACTTGGATAAAAGCAAACTTGAAGGCAGTCTTTTTGTATCCCCTTCTTTCGCCATCCCTCCCCTCTCCCTCTTAATGTGTTTAAATCATTTCAGGCTAGGAGCTCTGCGTCGTAGTTAGTCATTTCCTTCTAGTCTTTCAGGTGACTGCTTGCTTTGTGCTCCAGGTGGAATTGGGGCCTTATCAGCGGCAGGGCAGGAGCCCAGTGGCCACATCACACAGAATACAGCAGTTCCTCCAACCGCATGGCTGCCCCACATGATTAAACCCAATCTGACCGCCTGTGTGTCGGTACTATATTGGTGTGTTTGTGAAGGAAGGAGAGTCTAGAGGAGGTTGATGAGCATAGGAATGCCAATGAGGTGCATTTGTCTCTGATCAAAGTGCTTGTGATGTTGAGTACATTCAGTAGGTAGGTAATGTCTGTAAAAAGTATTTCAATGCTTCAGGGTTCTGGCAATTGCTGTATTCTACATTCCGCTTGTTTAAGAAAATGAGCACTGGGATTTTTTTATGTTTCCAACAGCCTCCTAATTTTCACATGATGCTTTTGTACCACACTGCCGTGGGCTTGCAGGACAAAAAGGCCAACAATGCCTGTGTGGGCACAAACACAACCTTTTTTTTTGGAAGAACATTATGTTTCTATCCTCTGTGCCCTAAATGACTGCAAGTGGTTCAATGGGTTATTTTTAAACGAGCTTTGGATGAATAAAAAAGGAAGAAAAGAAAGGAAAGAGTAGAAATCAATGTTTGTGTCTTTTCAGATAAATGCATGGAGCCAGGCTGTGTAAGGCAGTAAGAGGGTAATCTGTGAAACAACAATACCGTGGGCTGACAGGAGACGCAGTAATCTAGGCTGGACCAGCGCTATCCTTAAACAGAGTGTTCTGTGTCTGAAAGATTACACTGTAAGCTCTGACACCATAATGGTCCTGCAGCACACACATACACACACACCGAATTGCTTCTGCCTGCATGGAGCTTCTTTAAGGCACCCCTGTTTAGGATGTAGTCTTTAGTGAGGGACTTGCTGGCAGAATGCATGGATGGGAATCTGATTCAGGCCCGCTGCCAACATGAGCAGAGATGTGAGCAGTGATTGACACTAGATAAATAATGAGATAAGCGAGATGCAGTGGAAAGAATACTCAATGGAGGAGACTAATAGTCTGTATTTTGTCCTGTGTGTTCCATACACACACACATTCATTTATTTTTGAGTCACCAGATAAAGACTGACAGCTAAAGACTCACGTTGGTCGTTTATTTCAGCTTTTTCCCTTAACTTCCGCCATATATGTTAATTGTTTTGCAAGGGCATAGATGAGAGCAGTGATATGTCACGGTCTGGTGAAATGACGCCCACTTTCCAGTGCAAACAAAGAAATGGCGCCATGTGGAAGAAATAGTTTTATCATGCATAGAGGCTGCTGTGTCGTGTTTTGCACATCAAACAACAACAACAATCGGAAGTCATGATTTCCTATACTCAACTTAGAAAGAAGACTGGAAAAGAAAAGATCTGTGGCTTCAGGTCATCCACAGAGATGACAAAAAGCACAGTCAATGGGACCCGGTCAGCCCAATACATGTAACTGTTGCCTGTCTGGGCGGGTCCTTTTAGGTAAAAAGACCACCACAATATTCTTTATTTGATATGTAGTTGGTGAAAACTTCTTAACTTGTATTTACTGCCATTTGACTGGCAGTGAATGTCTGACCCATAAAGGGACACGGCTATGACGTAGAGGGAAGTACTCTCTTGCTCTCATAGATAGTCCCTGGATTATGTGACAAGTGTGATTCGGTGAAAGAAAATAACTAGTGGTTATTTCCCCTTTACCAGATTGACGACAGGAGCAGCCAAACCTTTCTGCTTAAACTAAAGTTATGTTATGAAATGCAAGTGTTCTATTAAGGTCAAACATGTGTATTGCATCTTCATCCTCAAAAAACAGCAAACTGTATTTATAGAAAGGATTTCAAAACTGCAATGTTTCAATCTAAATTTGCTCGTCTCCTTCTCTAGTATGTTTTTCACATTTCTACACCTCTCATACGAGTGGGATTGCTCGAAACGGCATAAATTGCTAACGTGTGTGCACAATGCAAATAAACATGAATACCCACTAAAAAAAACATTGCGCCACTAGTGGTAAAATTACTCCACAGGGTACCTTAAATGTGCTTTGACAATAAGGAGGAAGAACATTTTTCCTCTTTTCCCAATGGGGGGTTTGTGCAGTTTGGGCTCTTAACAATAACATCCAATGTTTAGTCGAATATGCTTCAGTCAAGAACATATTAAACCATTTTGCAACTCCCCTCTTTAAATGTGTCCATGTTTTCATCTCTGCAGGGAATAGTACTTTATCTATCTACCTTCATGAATGAGCACAATATTTCCTATCCAACAATATCAACTCAGACACCTTTGCCTTGATTCCTGTTCTCATTCACTTGTGTCTTTCTTTTAACGTAGAGTGAGTTTGTGCTGCCTCTTTATTCAAATCTATACCTTCCTCTTCAGTCTGATTCAAGTCTGATGGGTTCTGTTATGGTCCATAGGTTCCAGTATCCTCAGTTCTTCAGGTTTGCTAATGTTTTTTGTCTGTCTCCTCCAACAGTTTGAGGCTAATGTGTACGAGGGCTCGACGGGCGTCGTTGTGAACCTGACGGTAGACGATAGAGACGACCCAGACACGGGGGCGGGGAGAGCGATCTACTCTATAATTAACGGAGATCCAACACTGAGCTTTGAGATCCAAACCAACCCAGACAACAACGAGGGGATGCTGTCTGTCATCAAGGTAAAAATACTGTATATCAAACTGCCCAATACATTCATTTGATAACATGATTACCATCCCCTTACATCCACAATGATTTTCTCCCTTCAGCCTTTGGACTATGAGGCCGAAAGGTTCCACGCGCTACTCATCAAAGTGGAGAACGAGGATCCTCTGGTTCCTGATGTTGGCTACGGCCCCAGCTCCACTGCCACTGTCCGCGTCACAGTCCTGGACATCAACGAGGGCCCCGTATTCTTCCCCGACCCCCTGACAGTCAACAAGATGGAAAACATTCCTCTGGGAAGCTTCGTGGCTTCACTCAACGCCACAGATCCAGATATATTACAGGCACAGAGCATCAGGTAAGGAGCCTTGGTCCTGAGTCGTTATGAGGTTATTTGAAATCCAGAAAAACACAAGATAGAGATTGTTTGGGCTGTCGTCTGCTCAGTAATGAGGTTTCTGATATGTATTCAGTTTCACTCAACGAAATCAAGTATCCTTTGCTAATGTGACTCTTTGCAAAGCGCGTGTAGAAGAGCAGTTATTTGATGTCAGTAAACTTTCAGATACGTTTATCTCTCTCACATCGGGTTCACATCTCCTGCGTCCCTTCATCACAGATTGTTTTTCTTTTGCCTGTCAGGCTACTGTTGTGTAAACAGATGAATGATATTGCCCGGGCAATCTGCAATTTACTGGCATAGGTTGAACCGTTCACCCAAGTCAACGGAAGGTCACAGAGCCGGCCAGCACATTAACTTTAACTATGTTACAGAAAAAGCGTTCTCTCAAATATTACCATCATCATGACAGGAAGACCATTAGTTTCACTCTGTGCTACAATAACAATGATTCCTCTCGCTGCCAGAGGGAGCCCCATAGCATTCGCTGCACTACCTTTTAAAAGATAGAAAACCTATCATTGCATTTATTGGCTTTCAGGCCTAATTTGTTCTCAATCAGTTTGCTGACTGTCTGCACCCTCAGAGTTATATTTCACGTAAAATAAAATTGTAAAGTAAACACATGGGGATAATAAGCCAGGGCAATAAAATTCACCACATCGTGACTTTTATGCTCAGATTATTGATGCCGCTTTATGTGCTATAAAACGTAGTCACCATGTCAGTATCCAATGCTACATAACGGGCAGATTATTAACTGAAGGTTGTTTATGAGTCAAGACCTGTCGAGTGGAGAGTCTAAAGTCATCAGTCAGGTCACATGAGAGCAGCTATTGGTCTTTAGTAATTCATGTATCGCGCCTGAATAGCACTCCACTTATAAAAATGGAAAAACTCTCAATAATATGTTGAAACTATATGACACACAAGCTAGGTTATGTAGGAAAGTTGTCGTCGTCTGTTTATGTTTTATTTCTGACTCAACAACAATTTTGATACCCGCATTTGGATTTTGAAGCTATACTGATAACTTAAAAGCCTTCTTCAAAGAATTTGGTGACATTTCATCTATGTATAGTCACGGAGGGCTTCGTGTTTATGACACCTTCTGTGCATCTCTGACTGATCTTCCAAGTCGTATATCTGCATCTTTCTAACTTCATCCTTGCTGCTCTGCTCCTCTCATCCTCGGCATACATTTCTGTATTTATTTCATGGCCTCTGCGGTTGTTGTCATTTCATCCACTGACATTTTTCCTGGTAAAAGTTACTTTGAAGTGTCATAACTGTGACCCGCAGACAGGTTGAGGACATGAGAAAGACAGAGGGGTGGAGAAGTGAAAATAGGGAGGGAGCCTGCACCGAATAAAATGGCAAAAAAAAGATCTGTTATCCTGCCTCTCTCTTGCTCTGTCTGTCTCAGCATAACTGTGTGTTTGTGTGAGTGTGTGTGTGTCGGTGTGGCTACCCCTTGGGATGCACAGGTCAATTGCATTTGACACGGAACACAATCTGTGTGACGCGCTGGTCAGGGTCCATATCACACCGTTACACACACACACACACACACACACACACACACACACACACACACACACACACTTGCATGGTTATATGTGCATATTTGTGACGTCTTTAACAACAATAATAATGGACGTAAAAAGGCATCCTCATGTTTACGTTGCATTAAACATAACACTCTGGCCAGTGCACTTTTTCAAATAGCTGTTCATTTTGAGTAAGTCAATACATGAAATATTTGCATTACAGTGCGCAGCTGAGCCCTAATTGAAAGACTATTGTTACCTGGTGGCTCCTGTGAGGTATTATAATTGCAGGGGCCATCTGTTTTGTTAAACCTGTACAAAACTGCCATGTGATATTTCTGGACAGCTGTTTCGACCCAATGCAGATTCAGGACCCATTCAGCTTTGATTATAATTTCAGTGGGATTTGAGGAAACAATTATTACCATGCAGCTGTGACTAAATGTGTTTTTGCAGGTGACATTTTAGACAATGCAAAATTACAGGAATCAGTTCGTCTTCACACACAAAAACTCACTTGAAGCCAAACACAACAATACAAGTTAAGATGGGATGATCCAAATCTTGTAGTGCAAGTCACATTAAAACATAAGTCAGAGAGGCTCTCTTCTGTGAAGTCACATGTTTGCAGGTGAAATGCAACATGTGGAAAGGGGTAGGTGGCAAGAGAGATTTAAATCAAATCCTTAAGATCTGGTTGGATCGCTCGAGGGACACTGCTTATTAACTATGGCGGTGCAATGCAGAGCTGTGAAGGATAATTGGATGTCACCCACACCTCAATTCCTCCTGCTCCACTTTTGTAGGAACAGGAGACGGTAGACGGGGAAAGAACTTATAAACCTTGACGTTTAAAGTTTATATTCACAATTTCTCGTATGCTGAGTTTGTCCTTGATTGAAATGATTCTAAATGGAGGAAATCCACCATTAGTGGTATTAGCTACACCTGACTAGAACGATGGTGATTGTGAAAGACTGTTGGCAAATCACTTAAAGTTGTATTTATACAGCATAACTGCTTCTCACACAAAAATATAAAAGAATGAATTTAAATGTTATAACAATGTCACAAACAGAACAATGAAAAACAAGAACAAACAAAAACAAACAAGAAGGGGGATGGATAAAAAGGCTATAGTATATAAGATTTGAGGGTTATAGGGTTAGGGTGTGGGAGTGCTTGAAGAGTAAAATGAAGACCAAGGAGATCAAAAATGCAACTAGGGACAATGTCACGAAGAGCTTGATATCCAGCCAACAGCAAATTGAGGAATACACAAGGGTTAGTTTCAGTTATTAAACTGGCAGCTGCATTTTTAACCAATTGCAAACCAATAAAAGCAGCCTTACCAAGGCACGTATAGATAGAATAATAACAATCTAGATGGGGAAAAGTGACATAACTGAGGGAGTCCAGTACATTCATAAATGTTTCATAAATAATACCAAAGTACTTAGCGGTAGATTCATATTAGAGTGAAATAAAATAAGGAAAAACAATAGAAAACTGATTCACTGTCATTGCCAAACCATCAGTTAAAAAGCTCACTTAAGGGCTGCTGTAGGATCAAATGGTGTCCTTATGACCACTTGGCCCAATGCTATGCTATTTAGGCTACAATTGACCAATTTAGATATTTCACTGCAGTTACAGTCTTCATGTCTGCAGGATGACAGAATTAAGATGAAGCCTTATGACAACCGACGCATTATTAGAAATGTTAACTTAAGCTCTTATTATCCAAATTGAAACAATTAGTGATTGTTTTTAAAATTGTAGACTAAAGGAACATGGTGTGCTGTGAAGCTTCTCATTAGCCTGGTTTCCATTGAACCCAAAGGTTAATCGAGGCTATCTCATTATCCAGGTTGTTCGACAACCTTCCTTTATCTTTATCTTCTAATGTTATTTAGAAACAGGTTATGTGCCTAGGAGGGTGTAAGATTTTAACAAATAAATAATTGAAATCTGTTACACTTTGACCACAAACACTTTGAAATAGGCCAGCCTCTGATGAGTCTGTCTTCTTTCCTTTCATATTGTTGACGGTGTGTCTGGAGGACATGTTATTAAATCTTAATGATAAAAGACAACATCCACCGTTCACATGAATATCAAGGGGCATCTATTAATAGATTGTTTTTCATCCAAATGATAAACTTCATTATTAAAACAGTGCTCTGGGCTTTTTTTTTTGTATTTACCCTAATCAGTACACTGGTGAAAAGAATAATTGAAAACAACAATGCAATTTTCCTTTTTTCAAACTGACCTTAGATAGTCCAGACTCGTAAACGGACATGTTACATAATTACTGCAAACATGAGTCGTTTTAATCCTGTCAGTATTCAGGCCAAACTATTAGGCTTCGTGCGGATTTGTCTGCTGAAGACGTTTTCTAGCCGTCTTGACTGATTTAAGGATTTATTCAAGCGGAATGGTTTTTAGAGAGCGAGGCAGTGGGAACGTCAGACAGCGCTGATGGGAGACGGAGAGACTTGGACTTGCTTTTGAATAAAATGCATCTCCGGTAAACCTCTGATTTAGAAGTGTTGTGTTTAGCGCGTGGGTGCTAAGCGTTGAGGAAAAACGAAGCACTTCAGGGCTGTTTTGCGCCCTAAAATCTGGATGCAAGAAAGTTTATAATCAGTAAGTTTATACTCTAATATTTCCTCAAATCCCATCTTTGTGGGGGAAACTCAGCCGGAGAATTCACATGACAAGTCAAGAGGTTCTGATTACACGGGTGTTGCCACAATCAATTATGCAGAAACCTTCCTTTGCATGATGTTTTAACTAGTTTGGAGGAGGCTAATCAACATTCTTTACTAGATAGACTAAACAGCTGGGGACAGTGAATGACTTGCAGTTGGCAGGTAGCTTTGAGGAGCCTAAGGAAGGGAAGAGAGACTGAGACAGATCAATGGACACACAGAGTCTGTGAAGGAGATGGTGTTGAATGTTACAAAGGCTGACCTGGGCGGGGTCAGACAGTGTGATCACCGTAAGGCCTCTGAAATGATCCCTGTCTGTGTGGGCCGGATGGGGAAAAGGAAGATGACAGCAAGACGTACCAAAAGAGCACACGGGAGGATGGGATGTTGGTAAGCAGCCAGCAGAGAGTAATTCAGCCACTGAATGCCAAACGTTTTATATGGAATTTGAGTTGATTGTTGTTAAAGGTGATTTGATTGGCTGACCTGCAAATGTGTCCAGCCAGATATGCAGGGCCAGCCACATTTTGTGGATGCTGCGAAGTGCCCAAAGTATAACGTTATTGGGATTAAACAGGAGCTTAGAGGAAAGCAATAATACTCTTGCTGAACTTTTGGCTAACTTATTCCCAACGTAAGCCAAACGTTGAAATTGTCCATTCTCACACAGCAGTAGGGCACATTTGTTTAG